CCATATTGAAGTATCATTATTTTTGCATCATGTTGAATCGCATCGTATCGCCCCGAATCGCATAATGTTGAATCAAATCGTATCGAACTGTATCACAACAGGGGTGAATCGTATCGTATCGCATCGCCTGGTGTTTCAAAGGTATCGTTAATGTATCGTATCGGGGCAACGTATCGAGATGCGCATCGCATCGGCCTCAGTGATGGAGATGCACATCCCTAGTACATACACACAAGGGGAGTTAGTCTGTTCCGTGAGAGCCAGCATGAGGGACTGGGACTCTGGGATTTGTAGTCTTTCTAGTTGCGTATTTTTCATAGTCTTATATTTCAACAGTTTTACGACAAACTGTGACTTTTTTGACATGGAAATTATTATTTAAGATTGACAAACATCATGTGTGTAATTCGTGGCACAATTCAAACGGGATCGAAAGATAATCTTTCTCTCTCCATTGACTTCAATACATCATTTTTCCGAAATAAGGTCCCATGGGGCGGAAGTAGAAGGGCGGGACTTCGCCTCTCTGTATTTGTTAATTTGCATGTATCAATGAAAACATTGGATAATAAATGATGCAGCGTTATGTCTCATCATGTCGTGCATCAGGTTTTATTCATTTCTCTGGAGCCCTGCATCCACTTCACGTGTTCTCCCTGTCTGCCTGCAGGTTTACCAGCTGCTTCAATCCCAACAAGACGCCGCCGTGCAGATTTCTCATCAGCAGTGTTGGCAGGACACCCTCATGCGCCTCTACCTTCGGGGGGAAGGATCCTTTGCTCTTCGTGGCTCGGACACAATCAGCACCTGCAGTCTGGATCTCAACCGATCGGGAGGAACACATCGTCTGGATGTTCCTCATGAAAGGAGGTCGAGAACGGGCAGCCGCTTGGAGGACGACCGAATCAGCGTGGGAGAAACTCGCTCTGTCGACAGCCTGGAAAACGGAGACGCCATTTCTCTTCTGGACACACCTTCTTCTTCTGCCTCCACCTCCACAAAGCCTTGGGTGTTGGGGAAGTCGGGGGGTTTGATGCTGGATCTGTCCCACCTTCAGTCCTTCGAAGGTGGGGACAGCGGCAGCCAAACGCCCGGCAGCGCTCAGAGCACACCGTCACCTCTGGAGACATCCAAACCTTTTCCGGGGAGCACCGGGGATAGAGATAGAGATGCAACGCCCTCCCTGACTGAAGACAGCTTCCTGTTCAGTGACAACATCTCACTGGGCGAGTCCTTCAACAACGCTGAGGTGAGAGGAGGCTGAGACGATGAAAGGGGACAGAGTTTTGTTGTGGTTTTGACCTGATTGGGTGCAGTTTGGGTCGATGTTTGATAAGAGTTTGTAAAATAACAAAGGCAATTTGGTTCTTGGTGCCCCCCCCAGCGAGCGGAGGAGGAGCTGTGCAGCATGCTGCTGGAGATCGTGCTCTGCGTGATGTGGCGAGGTGTCGAAGGATCAGATGATTCAGCGTGGATCGAGCGCGGACAGGTGTTCTCTGCTCTCACCAAACTGGCAACCGCCAACGAGCTGCTGCTTCCTGTCGACCAGATCAAACTCAGGTCAGACATTAATACTGACAAACTACTGCCTAATGCATCCGACTTATTGCAGACAAGCTACAATTAAGAAAACAGAAATAGGATCGTTGTGTTAGCATCAAACAGGAAATGGCTGAGAAGAATCAGAATCTATTATTTATACATAGAGACAGAAGAAATATATCACTATTACTGTATATTAAACTATGCTAAGTCCACTGAGACACTGCCCTCTTCCTCAATCAATCAACCAATCAATCACTCAACCAACCAATCAATCAATCAATCAATCAATCAATCAATAGAACCCTATAAGTGTATATTAAATGCTGTGAGCTCCACTGAAACCCTCCTCTCTCCTCCAGTCTGATGGAGCGCATGTTGGAGTGGTCGGTGTGTGATAACCGCGAGGCGTCGGCCTCCTCGCTGCCGCAGCACACGGAGAACGCGGTGCGCTTGCTGCACATGGTTCAGGACTTCCTGCAGGCCGAGGGTCTGGTGAATCCGGCGCTGTGGACGGAGAAAGTCCTGGAGGAGACGGTGACGCTGATGGACAGCTTGATGGTTTGGTACGCCTCCGGATCGCAGTGGTTCCAACTCTCCCAGGTGGGACTCCGGCTGCTGCTGGGCTTCATGGCGCAGGAGGACCCAGAGGTGAGATGTTTTCCCATTCTTAATGCAATGAATAATAACGTGGACGAAAATCCCCCAAAAATGTTTTATTCAGCTTTCCACACGTATACAATTATAGAATTAGGAAGATCAGCAGTTTTCAAAGTGTGAGACGTGCCTCCCTGGGGGGGCGGCAGAGAGCTTCAGGGGAGGGAGAAAAGAAGCGCTATGATAGGCTTGTGAGAATAGAGCGAAGTGATTGGTTAAGCTGGGGAGCAGTGTTGGGGAAGTTACTTTTAAAAAGTAGTGTTTGCTCGTTACTCGCTACTTCTTTAAAAAAGTAATCCCTTACTTTACTTAGTTACCCTCCAAGGAAAGTAACTTTTTACGTTACTCGTTACTTTTATGTTGCTCGACTTTGGGCAGAACCCCATCTCTGTTCCTAAATGTTTAGGCTTACATAAAGTTCTACTATGGAGGACATAACAGATATTTCTTTTGTGCTCTTTATTATAAAAAAAATGCCACTTAACAAAACATTGGGCTATAAGCGTCAACACCACCACTAAACAATAATATCAAACAATATCAATATAAAATCATAATCATTAAACAGGCTAGCCCCAAAATAGGTGCAAAGCTAGTGCAAATCATATCAATAGGCTCCTTAGGAACAACATGATGAAAACCTCAAAATGGCTCATCCAATCCAAATCCAACATGACACATGTAAATCCAACAGAAAAATAATAACTTCAAAATGTCTTGATATCAATGGCTTGTGTAAATAAAATAAAATGGCATAATACAGCTTGGAAGCAAAGACATTTTAGCCAAAATAAAATCAAGAACAACTTAAAGCAGGACTGGCCTCCGAATTAAAAGGCTATGTTCACTGAATATGCTGGCCCTTCTTCACGGTATGATAATATCATCATTTCCCCGGGGATCTTGAGCTACTAGCTTCATGCTAGCATGTTTTCCTTTCAAATGCTTGGTGAGGTTGGCAGGTAGCTCAAGATCCCCGGGGAAATGATGATATTATCATACCGTGAAGAAGAGGGGACACATGTTGATGTAGAAGAGACATGAAGAAGAGGGGACACATGTTGATGTAGAAGAGACATGAAGAAGAGGGGACACATGTTGATGTAGAAGAGACATGAAGAAGAGGGGACACATGTTGATGTAGAAGAGACATGGAGAAGAGGGGACACATGTTGATGTAGAAGAGACATGGAGAAGAGGGGACACATGTTGATGTAGAAGAGACATGAAGAAGAGGGGACACATGTTGATGTAGAAGAGACATGAAGAAGAGGGGACACATGTTGATGTAGAAGAGACATGGAGAAGAGGGGACACATGGAGAAGAGAGGACACATGGAGAAGAGGGGACACATGGAGAAGAGGGGACACATGGAGAAGAGGGGACACATGGAGAATAGGGGACACATGTTGATGTAGAGGACACATGGAGAAGAGGGGACACATGGAGAAGAGGGGACACATGTTGATGTAGAGGACACATGGAGAAGAGGGGACACACTGTGCACACGCTGCCTAAGTCTCTGTTTTTGAGCTGGAGTTTGAAAAAGACGATGTTTTTATTTTCCTCTTCTTCTCCATCGTCAAAACGGTATTGATTTTTAAAAAGCACTTTCTTTTTCTTATATTTCTCCCAGTATTGGATTCGTCTGTTTGAGTGACAGGTCTATTTCAGAGACGTTATTAAAAGTCTTCAAACTGAGATCCAGAGACGGAAAGACTGTCGTCAGATGTCAGCGTTTCTCTGGAATCAGAAGACGAGGATCTCTGAGGGTTTAATATCAAAACATGATTTTTAATTTCCTCTCATCACTTTAACATTTCCTCTCTGACACGGAGGGGCCTTTGTTCCTGATGCAATGTCTTCAACACGTGTGTTTCAGTTCATAGATAAGAGTTTTCAACAGATTTGAGTGGATGTTGAAATGCTCGGGTGGAGCAGCTCTCACCCGCAGCCAGTGTTGGGTGTAACGCGTTACAGTAACGTAACTACTAACTAGCGCTACTACGGAAAATTTGGTAACGTAACGTAGTTTCTTTTTCAATTCGCCGGAACGTTACTTTTCCCAGGGACGAGTGACAGTGTGACACACTGCCTACTCAGCTGCGTGCTTACGCAGGCACGAGCTCTCATTCCACACTGTACGTGATAGAGGCTGGCCGCTGGTGGTGGCATGAAGACTGAAGAGCAGTGATGGCAAGCGAGAAGCAGGCGCAGCCAACGCTAACATTCGAGGGATGGAGGTATTCCCATTACTTCGAACTTGTTGAAACTAAGGGGAAACATGTGAGTGTAAGGTGTACGTTGTGCCCTGGCCAGAAACTTTTGTCCACTGCCGTTAACTCAACTGCCAACCTCACCAAGCATTTGAAAGGAAAACATGCTAGCATGAAGCTAGTAGCTCAAGATCCCCGGGGAAATGATGATATTATCATACCGTGAAGAAGGGCCAGCATATTCAGTGAACATAGCCTTTTAATTCGGTTTTTAATTCCAGTCCTGCTTTAAGTTGTTCTTGATTTTATTTTGGCTAAAATGTCTTTGCTTCCAAGCTGTATCATGCCATTTTATTTTATTTACACAAGCCATTGATATCAAGACATTTTGAAGTTATTATTTTTCTGTTGGATTTACATGAGGCATGTTTTATTTTGAGACACATGAGCCATTTTGAGGTTTTCATCATGTTGTTCCTAAGGAGCCTATTGATTACTATGATTTGCACTAGCTTTGCACCTATTTTGGGGCTAGCCCAGAGTCCTGCATCGGGTCGGGTATCCGCGGGTACCCGACGGGTGACCCGCAAAAAAGGTGATTTGCGGGTGGTATTTTTTCAAACGCTTTTTTCCGGGTTCGGTTCTGGGTAAAACAAAGATGATGCGGGTCGGGTTGCGGGTGTTGCATAATAAATATATTTAAATAATAATAATTTAGTTTAATGTTTAAATCCTCAGACCTCTCCCCCGCGGGACCGAGCATAATCATAACCTCTGCAGCGCATCAATCTGCTTCTGAGCGCGCCACATTCTGAATGGCTGAGGTGAAGCTCTCTAGCGGAGAATACAGCATTTTCAATAACTCTTCCTCAAGAGCGAAATCCAACGTCTGGGAGGCTTTTGGTGTCCTCCTAGATGAGAGAATAACCAACATCCCAGGCTTTTTGAGCCAAATATGCAACTGCGTGTTAATAATCGCACGTTTTCACTGCTTATATATATGCGGGTTCGGGTCGGGTTGCGGATCTTGTGCCGGCGGGTCGGGTCGGGTTGCGGAACTAATTGGTAATATGTGCGGGTAGCGGGGCGGGTTCGGTATTGCACGTCGCGGGTGCGGGGCGGGAGCGGGTCTTGAAAATCAGACCCGTGCAGGACTCTGCCCCCATTGTAGTCTCTGGATGATCCTTTACTATATGTCGATGACGATGCTTTACATTAACTGTATCCAATCACTTGCTCTGTTTCCAATCTGAAGGCCTCCATTTGATATCATCTTCTTAATTAACTTTTTGAGACTTTTGTCCAATCATTTCCACATTGTCGTATTTTATAAGAAGTATAAAATGAGGAAGATGTGTGAAACAAAAGCCACTACGATGCTGCTTCGGCAAACAGTTTTGCATCAGAGATTGAGGCGATTGAATCGAGTCGAACACCTTCAACAGTGCAGTCCTCAACCCCCCTTCTATTTTTGCC